TCCCTCACCCCCCCCCCCCCCCCCCCCCCCGATTTTGTAGAGTCGTTACCTCGATATGTTGGCAATTACGAAGCGAGTGAAGCGAGCGGAGTCTTTCCTTAGAATAACGGAAATTTCTGAGTATGAGCGGCCGGCCGTGGTCACGCTTTTCCGACGCTTATATATCTCAGCAACCACTTGACCGATTTACATGCGGTAATTTTTGTAGGGTAGCTTCATTCCTTCTACCAAGTATGGGATTCTTCCCGACGCATGTGGGTGACCCCTTATGCACGTGCCACGCCACGTGCAAAACGAAGAGGTGTCCGTTTTGTAAAAATTGCAATATCTCGGTAACTACTGGGCTGATTGCGCTGAAAGTTGGCATGTAGGTAGGCACTCGGCAATGCATATCCATCATGTGCCACAGTTGGGGTGCTGCTGCACGTGCGCACGTGCAGGGGTCGATTTTAAATCTCGAGAACGGCTGAACCGATTGCGCTGAAACTTGGTACATGGTTAGGGACCGGTTAGTAGGGTGACGTGCAAAAGTCAGTTGGGAGTTGGCACCCATTTTGCACGTGCGCACGTGCAGGGTGCCGCTTCCAGATCTCGTGAACGTCTAGGCCGATTGCGCTCAACATTGGCACATCGCTAGATACTGGTTGGTAGGGTGCAGTCCATAAGTTAGTTGGAGGTACGGGGGACCCGCAGTTGCTACTGTACAGCGACCCTGAGTAAATTGTCCCAGCACCCTCACAGGGAACAACGATAAGCTGTCAGAGGGCACGCACAGAAAACCTCAGGTGCTCTTGTACAGGGACCGGCAGTCGATATCAATGTTATCGGTTGTTACTGGACAGGACAGGCGGCTAGAGTTGGGGTTCGTGTACAGTAGCAACTGCGGGTCCCCGTAACCCCTCGTAATTTCGCACGTGCAACTGCAAGACCGACCATCTCGCTCGCTCCTTTGGTCGCCCCAAAGGCGTTTTACTGGTATATAATAAGAAAATATTACTTAGGTTGGGTATGAAATAGAAACAAGCCCGTAATCTTTGTGGAAAAATGCATCAAATATGGTAAAAATAAATCTGGATGCGTCCGTAAATTTATTTATTTATTATTTATTTATTGCACTTCATCAGATCGTTCCGCTAAAATAGGGCTATTCTCCGATCATCGTCATGACAATATACATAGGTATGAAAAAAAACACACACACACCAGATAAATTGACAGGTACAATGACGGCATAGCAGTGACAAAGTACACTATCACGGCATAGACCTACCAGACTGCGTTACTCTGGCGCAGTAAGTCCTTCATCTTGGCCTTGAACGTTGCTACACTTAGACCAGCCAAGCCGTTTTGCAGCGCCATTCGATTGTACAGGGAGGCGGCTCGGTGCACAAATCGACGTTTGCCATGGTTGTTTTTCGCACGACATACGGCTAAAAGGTGCGACTGTCTGGTGTCTCGACACACGTGCTCATGGTTATAGGACATATAAGAACGCAGTAACATCAGGCTTCCCCGACTTAAAGGGAAGTATCATCGAAAAAAATCAATGTATGGAGATGATTTTTTTTACTAGCATTTCTTATTTTTCTGAATCAGAAAAACATAGTTTGAGGACCGAACTCGGTGAAAAATATTTTTTCATGAGCGAGTTATTTTCATGAGCGAACCACCACTACAAGCATGGCCGCCACTTTGAAAGCCTGCGAAATTACTACAGAACTGGCGCAGATAATACATTATTGACGCTACGCTTACGCGGCCGCTCTTCTGATTGAGTTGTCGTTGAGATCGAGACTGATCAGATGACGTCATACATATACGTCATACATTGGAGGGAGATTGTGATTCAAGCTGGAGGAATTCCTTTGTTGAGCCGCTAGAATCCGAAGGAAACAGCGGAAATTGCCTACGACTATTTAATGAATTCAACGGTGATGAATAAGTGCGAAAAACGTTTTTGCTTTATAAAATTTGATGAAATGACCGACCAGGGTAAAAGTTTTATTACTGGCGGTCAATTCAAAACGGCGCAAACATTTAAACAGTGAAGATAGTGAAGCACGATTCAAAGTGTAGTACACCTTTCGTACTTTGAGCGGCGATAGCGGGATAACGGTGTGGAGCTTCGAGGATCGGTCTTCAGTTCCCGGACCAGAAAGGTGGGGCCTATGCAATGTCAAATTTCATCAAAATGGTGATACTGTCCCTATGCCATGCATCAGTGACATGTCCACATGCGCTATAAACTCGGGTACACGCAGCCATGCAAGTTCGTCTAGCACATCAGTAACATGATCAAATTTTCGCCGCCCGGAGATAACTCTGGCTGAGAAGTTAAAAACTTTCTGTAATCTGGCTATGGTCGTGCGATTGGCGCTACCGTATACAGGAGCACAGTACCGCACATGGGACAAAACGAGAGAGTCGACAAGCCGAGGTAAAATAGAATGTGGAACAATGTGTCTGATGTGCATGAGACCGATAAGAATGCCGAAGCAGCGGTTGATGATGGTGTTGATGTGCGCTTCCCAGGTGAGCTCGGGGTCCATGACCACACCAAGGTTTTTGACAGTTCGCGATAGAGCAAGGACCTGACCCATAAACTCGATCTGAGGAGGCTCGTCGATCCGAGCCAGCTGGCGACGGTCACCGCACATGAGGAGCTCTGTTTTGCTGGCATTGACCATCATACCGTGCTGGAGAAACCATGTGCACAGCGTGTCCAACACGTTTTCCAGAGCAAGCTTCAGTTCTGGAAGCCGGCTACGAGGGCCAGTTATCGCAACCTGGGTGTCGTCTGCATAGCGAACGGCCAAGATGCGGAAGCCGTTGACGCTGTATGGAATGTAACAGCCGATGCTGTTGCTCACGATGTTGAACAACAATGGGCCGAGGCATGAACCCTGGAAGGTGCCGATGTTGATGGGCAGGGGCTCAGAAAGTCTGTCGCCCACTCGTACCCGCTGTGTGTGTCCGGCCAGGTAGCTGCTGATCCAGCCCGTGGATATCTGGAGCTGTTCCAGGCTGGTCAGCAAGGTGGCGTGATCCACAACGTCAAAGCAACGGCTTAAGTCAATCAGAGTTAAAAGGGTGACTTCGGAATGGTCCATGCCAGTGAGTATGTGATCGGTCATAGCTAAAAGAGCCGTGGTAGTTGAGTGACGTGCCATAAAACCATGTTGATCGGGACTAAAGAGACAATAGTGTTCGAGGTAGTTGGAGATCTGCTGGTGTACTAACTTCTCTACGATTTTACAGATGACGGGTACATTAGTGATGGGTCGGAAGTTTGATGCCTGCGAGGGCTCGCCTCTCTTATGGAGAGGGATGACAACAGCGCACTTCCAGCTGGAAGGGACAGACTCAGTGACTATGCTACAGTTAATAATTTGCAGTAAAAGATGACCGATGTAGTTAAAGCATGATTTTAAAATTTTTACTGGCACGTCACCCGGTACACACGGGTCTTTGTTAGGCAAGCTAAAGAGCACGGTGTGAAGTTGATCAAGCGTCACTGGGATGATGTTCAGCCTTCCCGTGTGGACGCGTGGGAGCCGAACATCAAGAGGGTGTCGATCTGAGCGCTCAAACTCTGCCATCACTGTGTCGCGAGTAGTTCTACCGATAGAACAAAAATAATCATTCAGCTCTGAGGCAGTGAGATCAACAGGGGAAACTGACGGGCCGCGCTTAGGAGCGATAACGGACTCCAGCTCCTTGAACAGACGCGACGGAGGAGCAGCACGCACACGCTCAGTAATATCGTCACGCCGGTCCTTCCTAATTGCACGCTTAGCTAACGCGTTCAGACGCTGATAGGTGTCAGCGTCAGCGCACCGCAAGGCCTCCCTGCGCTGCCGTATGACGTCCAGCGTATCCTCTGTGACCGCTGGAGGAGCGGGGTTACGGACCTTAAACCTACGGATGGGCGCATGTCTATCTAATAAGCGTGTCAATGCATGAGCAAAAGCATCCCACTGCTGCTCACAGGAAGCATCACGTCTGACCAGCGCGCGCCAGTCAACTCCTGCGACATCAGCCAAGAACGCACGCTCATCAAACACCCGCCAGTTGAATTTGGTGCTGCTGTGGAGGGTTTAAAAATCCCCTTAAACCTCGCCCGTATAGGGAGCGGACACTCCTTCGGTTTTTTGCAAATAGCTCACGTAAAAAGCGGGAGATCGCAACGAAACTTTTAGTACCCTCGAGTTAATCAATTTTAAACCTACCCTGAAAGTTTCATGACCCTGACCTAAATGACCTTTGGCTCTGACCTATTTCTCGAGACCATGTTTGGCCGGAATCGCGATTCGGCATAATGTCGGCTCGCATTAGGCGCGCGTTTGCAGTCTTTTTGTGGTTTCAAGCGTTCACACATGTGATGTTATGTTGCTCCCATGCTCAATGGTGGATGTCAAGGTCACGTGAAGGTCAGGTCAGATCATTGACCTTTGATGACCTCGATTCACTTTTCGAGTTTTCATGTTTCTAGGCTAGTTTTGGAGCTCGTTTCGAATTTAGCCACCATTTGAACATTTACGGAGGAGTTTTTATGCCTTCGTTACATGTTACGAAGCTGTCAGAGGCGGTTGACACCTATTACGAATACCCGGCAGGGCCCCTAATGGTTGACCTTACCTGACCTGGTCTAAATGCATAAAGACATCATCTGTGATCATAACAAATACGTATTCCCGCACCAAAAGACGGTGTGGAAAAATATACATAAACCCGGGACCACACCACTGTTTTTGGAAGCGAAAACACACGAAAGAGGAAATTGTCACTGCTTGCAGTGCTTTGAAATTATCATTTAGAATGCAAATAGGTAGGAATGGCATTCGAAGAAAGTTCCTACCTGATCCAGGTCTCTGAATTATGGAACGATGTCGAGCTAAGGTGTCAACTGAACCGTTTCATTCTGATGGCCGGCATACATAGGTAAGTAACCTACTTGCTGTGGCCACATAAAAGGCCGACGCTGCGCTGCATGAGGCGTCAGACTCACTTCGGGAGGGTGCAGTGAACTCGGGTCATTAGTCGTCGAGAGAGAAGAGAGGAGAAGAGCAAAGAAGAGAGAGAGAGAGAGAGAGAGAGAGAGAGAGAGAGCCATGCACTCCTTTCGAAGACTGGTGTTACTTTTAATAATAGCTGTGTTGCACCAGCCAGCCACAGAGCAACAGATCATATCATTTACTGGTGAGTGCTCGCTGCTCAGTGTTCAAAGCAGGAAGGTGGTAGCCTTGGAAATGATTCACTGCTTGGTAGTTTCTTATGTAATCTTAAGGTTCTCCCGAATGCTTCATCTATTACTACATGCTTATTTAGAAATATTTAACCCGCGCCCCGCTGAGGGGTCCTGGATTTCCACGCCCTGCTAGGGGTGGGGGAGGGTGTTTGAACACCTCCCCTTTTAACTCGTTTCCTGGGCCACGTAGCAGCAAGAAAAAAGCGGCGTTCGAAAGGGCGTCAAAATTAGCCCGCGCCCCACGGGGGGGGGGGTTAAGCTAGATCCAATTTCTTTGCATGAGGGGGCTCAGAACAGACTGGGCTTTGCAGTCTGTTATCTCGGATGTTGAATTTTATGAGAATCGCGAAAACAATAGGTATAGGTAAATTAAAATTCAAAATTTGTATTTTTATCTTTCTTTCAAAAAAATTTTGCTTTTCGAAAAAAAACGGAAAATACGAGTATGTGATAGAAGACATGTTTGTGACTAACTCTAGCAAGTTGTAGCCAGATATCCTAAAAATAGCCAAGTTATACGCATTATACCAAAAATTTCACGATCATACTTTTTCAAATCAATTTTTCAGTACGTATTTGACATCGTACACCAACATAATTAGCAACATCGTATTCCTGAGCTCAAACTGCATCCAATAGACGCCGTTGAAAAATGTTAACTTCAAAATGTGACCTTTGTTGACCTGAAAGTGGCCTGACCTCAGCTAACTTCAACTCAAAATGACCTCAAATGACACACACGACATCAAATTCGAAATCTATGGCCTAAATAGACCATAAAACATATGTAACGTGACCGATGCATGACACAAGATTTCTGTGACCTGTGATGACCTGACCCTGACCTGAAAATCAAAGTACAAGTTTGGTACCCTCAGGGTATCTAAAGCATCTGTTCACGAGTGTGTCAAAATGAGCTTGATCTGACTTGTAAAACGGCGGCCAAAGCCTAAAATGTGAACAAGCCAAACACCGATTATTTTTACTTTGACCTGACCTGTGACGTCATCAGTGAGTCTGAGGCCAATGAAAATAGGTTCATCTCGACAGTTGTTATTGGGCTATCAGGCGCTGTTTGAATTTTGGCGATCGGCCCAGTAGTTTCGGAGTTAGGAGGGGGCTATGAATAGCCCCTCCCCTTCAGTAGGGCGCGTTATAGGCAGACCCCAGTGGGGCGCGGGTTAATGACGAAATTACTTTAGCCAGTTTTGGTCAGGTCAAAGGTCAGGTCACCAGGGGTCATTAAAGGCCAAATCTCACCGATTTTCAGGTCGAATGTCGGCAATTTTCAACAAGCCAACGCATAACTCGGGAACCAATAGAGCTACAGCGCCGGAGAAAATGCGCACTCGATAATTAGGGGAAGATGGGGGAACACCGACCCCCTTAACCTTTTAGGTTCTAGTCACGTAATTTTTTGCCAAATCTCTCTCAGTTTCAATCTCTCAGTTTCATTGGATTTTCGCATTAATTTTACATACATAATACATAATACATATCATCCAATTGTTTTCTTGTAGTGTCGTTCATAATTGCATTATTCCACATTTAGTAAATGTCTACATTTTTTCGGGGTAACACCGACCGTTGGGTAACAGCGCCCGAGCTCAGCAGGCAACGAAATTTGCATGTTGCTGGACTATTAACCCGCGCACCGACGGGGGTCTGCGCCAGGGTTGTGCTTGACTCATGAGTCGAGTCAGAAATTTGACTCAACTCTGACTCAAATGAGTCAGATTTGAGTCGAGTCGGATAAAATGTTGAGCTGTTGAGTTGAGTCAGAGTTGAGTCGGACAAAAATATTATGTCGTTGAGTTGAGTCAGAGTTGAGTCAGCAAAATAGCTTTTGACATTGAGTTGAGTCAAACATTTAAAAACACGAGTCAGCTGACTCAACTTTCCAGAAACAGTATATATATATATATATATATATATATATATATATATATATATATATATATATATATATATATATATATATATATATATATATATATATATATATTCTTAGTCCTGGCTTTGCTGCCAGATTTTTTCACCTCCTCCCGCTCAACAACTTGAGTCAATTTTGAGTCAACTCACTTGACTCAACAAAAAATTTGAGTCAAGTTTGAGTCGACTCATATTTTCATCGAGCCGCTTGAGTCATGAGTCGAGTCAAGGGAAAAAATCAGTTCCTTGTTTGAGTCAGAGTTGAGTCAGGGCTTTTTGAAGTTGAATGATGAGTCGAGTCGGCACATTTTTTTGAGTCGAGCACAACCCTGGTCTGCGCCAACTTCGCACCGACGGGGGGGGGGGGGGCGGATGACCGCCCCCCCTGAGATCTCGAGAACGAAGCAAGATAGCGACAAGCGGTAAACGGCATCGGATACGCACGGACAAGATCTACAATTTTTACCTAGGTCATTTTCAGGTCAGGTCAAAGATGACGTCACAGGGGTCGAAAAGGTCAAAATGGCGGCGCTAGGTATGGAGAGAGTTTTCTCGAATAACTTTCGAATTAGTCAAGATAGGAACAAACTAATGGCATCATCGTGATCCTCTCGTCAATCCGCATCGAATGATATATATGTTGACCTCGAAAGGTCAAGTTCAAAGGTTGACCTCAGGTCACGTGACCTCGAGGTCATCATGCATATCATTCGATGCGTCTTGACGAGCTGAACACAATGAGACCATCCGCGCGGCTGTATCTTGTTCCTGTACGGAGTTATTGGCAAAAAACCTTTGGTGACCTTTGATGACGTCACATGACCTTACAGCTGCCCAACAGCAAATCAGACCTCAAGGTAGTGAAGGTTGATCGTATATGAAGTCATGTATGGTATATGGGGCCATTCCGACCGGTTTTAGTGGTAAAAACAGGGAGTTGATTTTTCCCCCATTGACTTATAATGGGGAGGTCGCGAAATTGACCTGACCTTAGGTCACCGACATCAAAATTCCGAGATATACAAATTGTAGCTACTAATGACCTAATAACATCCTGCGACTTTCAAAGGCCTCCGACATCTACTGTAGCTCTGGCACGGTGACAAAGTTGCAAAAAAGTGACTTGAGGTTGGGTCATTCAAAGTGACCTGGTGACCTGACCTTAAAAGTTAGGAGGTTCAAACTTGCACACCATGTGTAAAATTGATGAGAAAATAGTCGTACTAAATTTCGCGGCGCTACGCGCCGCGGTTTTCCCGCTATCCGCGAAAAACCTCAGGGGGGGGGGGCGGATATCCGCCCCCCCGTCGGTGCGCGTGTTAAGTTGTTCTTCTTATCGTAAATTTCGAGGCGTTTTAGCATATTTGTAAAATATATTGCAAACGATTTTTTATATCCCTGGTACAATGTAGTACCTACTCATTTATACAACTAGACGACTTAAAGTCCCAAAATTTCATTTTCTCGAAATTTTTCCTTTTCCACTAAAAATAAAACATAGCAACAACGTTCTTTCTTTATTTGAAATGCACCACTCTTGGGTCAGGTGTCACAATGTGCTATTAAATACCAAATTTCCCAAGTGGGTGGTGTTACCCAAGTGTCTGCATTTTTCTAAAAAAAAATCCTTCAATAAGGCAGCACGGCTAAAATTTCGCTCGAGCAGGAGCACGTAATGCTTGGATGAGTCCTAATTATGGCAAACGATACTACTTCAGGACAAATGTCTGTCACTAATAACATCACTTTTCTTCTGCTTATTATGCTAGAAAAAATATAAAACGTATTCACGAAACGTAAAATTAGAAATTTCTCACAAATCACCTAAACCAATGCGGTGCACTACCCATACCTGCACTTCTGTTGTTGTCACGCTGCCAAAAGACAGCCAGCTGTCGCCCTAGACCTTTTTATATTTCTGATATCAGGGTGGGCGGTGTTCCCCAAAGGGCGGTGTTCCCCCATCTTCCCCTAACGTTTTTTTCCGAACACTTTTCTCAGATTTAGCCATACGTCAACGGATTCTCCTGCAGGGCAAAAACTGCCAAAATGGACGATTTTTGCAGAAGTTTTTTCTTCATCAGTAACTTTTGACTCAAGCCTTGCACGAGCTTACTTTACCGGAATCGTGTTCCTCTCGTCAAGACGCATCGAAAGAACTATAATTTGACGTTGAAAGGTCAAATTGAAAAAAATGACCTTAGGTCAAGGTGATAACCTGACCGGAAAGAGTCATGTTAGGTACATATCAGTCGATCCGTATCGTCGAGGTGCACGCAGCTAAGGCGTTGTCATCGCTCTAGCATGTGTCTATCAAAAGCTATTTGCGAAAAACTGTATGCTAACATTCGTGACCTGGGATGACCATTTTAACCCGCGCCCCAGTGGCGGTCTCAGCCAACTTCGCCCTAGGGGGGGGGGGGGGGGCATATGTTACCACCCACCTCTAACTCAAAAAGTAAGAGGGCTAGAAAGACGCGGTAAAAAGCAGTCGATAGCTCTCAATGCCTACGTTTGAAAGTATTTCGTTCATTTTTCACCTTAGAGCAATATTGGGGTCACCAGAGGTCATCAAAGGTCAAAATTTGCCAATTGTCATTATATTTTTCAGAAAACATGCCGCTATCTCAGGAACTATGGTAGCTAGAAAAACGCATGGAAAAGCAATCGATAGCTTTTGAACTCTTCTTTTGAAAAGGTCATTATCAATATTGACCTCAGGTCAACGGTTTAGCCTCCAGAGGGCAAAAACTCCAAAAATAGCTGTTTTTACGAAAAGTGTTTTTCGACAATAACTTTCGACTGCAAAAAGCCACGACATTTCTATTGCCAGAATCGTGTTCCCCTCGCCGAGACGCGTCGAATGAACTATAATTTGACCTTGAAAGGTCAACTTGAAAATTTGACCTCAGGTCAAGGTCATGACCTGACCGGAAAAGGTCATGTTGCATATCAGTCGATGCGTCACAACAAGACAAACACAATGAGACCATCCCCAGCGTTCTATCTCTTTCCAATCGCGAGTTATTGGCAAAAAACTGTTTGTAGCCTCAAATGACCTCGGATGACCTATCTAGAGGCTATCAGCAAAAATGACACCTTGGTCATCACGAGTGGACTAAATCATTGTGATTCTGAAATATTTGGACTGTTCCGATGCGTACACACGGATCTAGAGGCATTTTCATTTTTCTCCATTGACTTGTAATGGAAAGGTCACGCCACTGACCTGACCTTAGGTCACGGATATGAAAAATCCGAGATATACAAATTGTAGGCGCCCATAACAGCATGCAATCCACCAAGTTTAAAACCTTTCTGACAAACACTGCAGGCTGGACATGGTTGCAAACTTTTTTTAGGCTTGGTCAGTTAACTTGACCTGGTGACCTGACCTGACATGACCTGGGGTCAAAAATTTCACACATTGTCCAAAATTGATATACCAAAAGCTACCCGGAGCGGCGCGGCGCTACGCGCCGCGGTTTTTTATTCACACGCAAAAAACGCGACAGGGTGGTAACATATATGTTATAATCGCGAGCGATTTCAAAGCGATCAGGCATTCGATGTAGCTATGACCGATATTGAAACTTTTTATGAGGGGAGGTCAGCTGATAGCCCGTGCCCCGTAGGGCTATCGGCGGACCCTACCACCCGTAGGGGGGTGGGGGGGGGGGGGGCGTTTCGGCCCCCCCTGAGATCTCGGAAATTTACCGGCCGATTTTCAAAATTCAAACGGCGTTCGATAGCCCCACCAGGGAACTACCTTGTGACCGAATTTCATTGACCTAGGTCAAACCGATGACGTCACAGGTCAGGTCAAACGTAGGATTTTCACCGCTCACAGGCATTTCAAGAAATGTGTTGTGGATTCAAGTAAATTGGTAATTTATTGAAAACCATCGATGGTATATTGTTCGTCAAACACATACTTTGCTATCTGAGGTCACTGACACCAGGTCAGGTCACAGCGAGGTCAGGTCACCGGGGGTCACAATATGGAAGTGGTGTGATGCATGTTTTATGGTCCATTTTACATGACAAATGCGATTATGTGGGTTAGCAGCCTTTGGGGCCAGCCTAGGTCACATTTTGGTGAAGGTCAGGTCAAGGTCAGGTCAAATTAGGTTAAATTTCAAAGTTGATATTTTTGCATAAAGTGGGTATCGATTCGATGCAGCTCGTCACGGGGAGTTTACTGGTGGTCTTTGTTTTGCCCTATGTGGTCTAGAATTGCCAAAAATTGAGTTTGAAAATTTGACATCATCATTTGGAAATTTGGAAAACACAACCAAAAGCGACGCACCCGCAAAAAGGAAGAAGAAAAACCTTCAGCTGTTTACATTTGAACCAGCTTGGCCTTAGGTAGGTAGGTAGGTATAGGAACGAAGACCAGGCCATGCAGGTAGGTAGGTAGGGTGAATAGGTCAAAAACGCCCCCCTTAACCCTCGCCCGCACATGGGGGGGTGGTTGCCACCCCCCCCCCCCCAGGTAGTCTTTCTGCTCTGCACACAACATTTTTAAAGCTAGAAGGCTGATTTTTCGTATAGCTGCTCCTCCATCCTTTTTTGATGTCCACTGAAAATTTCAAGTTTCTGTGTTTTTTGGTTTCGGAGCTATGACCTTGTTTTTCAGGTCATGTCATGACCCAAATGGCCAAATCTCAACATCTTGCGTTTGCCATGGGCCTTGTGAGCTTTTGACACCCTGATTTTGGCCTTTTTTGCCAGTCTTACCTCCCACCTATCATGGAACATGTTGTTCGACGATGTACAGGGATCAAGGTCAGGGTCAAGGTCAACCTAGGTCATCTAAGATAATTGCGTTTTAGGCAAGCTGAATTTACTTTTTGTGAAGTTTTTTTTACTGCATTTTTGGTAAAAGCTTCTCAGATCATGATTTCATGTAATATGGACACAAAAACAATCGGTGCACACATCAGTATACACACAGACACACACAGACATACAAACACATATAATTGACCTTGACCTAACTTGACCTGAAATGACCTCAGCAGCAAAATTCTGGTCGGGTAGTGTGACAAAGAGGTTCTAGCTGGCTTGGCACCAGAAAACAGCATCGTCATCGGTATTTGATAAGCAGCGCACTTGATATCCAACGGTGACCCAAAACAGCAACATTTTTTAGTTTGACCTGACCTGGAAGGTCAATGACTGACTTGAGAAGGTAAAACTGGGTATCATTGGATTCGTCTCTTCCCAAAGAATCTTTTTGGTCTTTACCGCTAAGCTCTATCTCCAACAGGAACGAAATGGCGCGGGGGGGGGGGGGTGGCAACCCCCCATGTGCGTTCTAGGATGGGAAAATGGCATGTGCGGGCGAGGGTTAAGCGCGAAACCTTCTGACACTCAACCCAACACAGATTACTCAAACCTTTGGGCACCATCATGTAGCTCATTCTTTTAACTACGCTTTGAGACCAAGGAAAGACACCTGCGTGTGGTATTTAACCCCCAAAAAGGTTTTCGCATACCCTTACAAAAGGGCGTTTTGCCTCACACCCTGGGTAATACGCCCACACCCATGTGCAAAGCGCCCCCACCCCATCCATCAACAGAACATGATGAACATGGCAGAACTTGACGTCATTCTGACGTCATTTGTGGTCAACCTATCATAGCCTTTGGAATAAAATTTTGTTGCAATGTGTAAAATGGATGCCCGGAGGAGTCCTGAAAGTTTGGTGACGATGTCTGCAGTCGTTCAGGATATATCAGCAAACAAGGACAGGGAGAGGCCTTTTCGGCCTCGACCTACAGGGCGCTACCCTGCACTCTCACCACCGTGCAAAACGCCCCCCTTTCAGAAAACTGGGAGCGTCTTGCCCCATGCATCGAGTAGGCGTCTTTCCCCATCCACTCCATTTCCGGTCAATAAAATATTGACAAAAAACGCGCCACTAACGCCGCAGCATAATAAATTCATCAGAATGACAATAAAACGCAGTTTTGAGTGATGTGCACAACAGCAAGTTTTGTGATATAAAGAGGGCATCAAAATATTAGGAATCTTATGTAAAAACAACAAAAACAACACCCAAAACCAACATCAGCACCTACCCACGCTGTTCCTCAAGACGCAGAACCGGAAATAGAGACCTACGTAAACAAGCAGCTGACTGTTCTGAAAGACAGGATAAAACACCCATCCGTCGATAGGAAATAGGTACGATTTTTTAGGGGAGGCGTTTAACCCAGGGGTGCGTTTTCCCCACAGTTAGGTAGGTACCCTACGCACCTATGCACCCATCTACTTACTAGTTTGCAGATAGGTAGGTACCTACTTATGCAAAATCCAAACGGGTTTTGCACCTGCTAATGTGCATGATCTTTTAAGAACGCCCATGCATTTATTCTCATTTCTTTAAATAAAGAAATGAGAATAAATGCATGGGCGTTCAAAACAAATGACAATATTGTCATTTGTTTTGTGCCATCGACAGGTCCGGCCGGCAAGTCATGCGTGACATCTAGCGGCTTCCTCGGAAACTGCGTCTCAGCTAGAAATTGCAATGTAGATGGCGCCACCGCTGACGGATGCCCGCGCTTTACGGTTTGCTGCCTTCGTGTGAGCGGCACCTCCGATGTGACAACATCGAGACCGACAACTCGGCCGGTCGTGATCCGTCCGCCGCCGGTCCAGCACCGCCTCTGCACCTATCGAGTGCCCGTGACGCCATCGGCACCCAGTGTGGGACTGTTGGCCAAGGCCGGCCGCATCAAACGAAGCCCTCAGAGGTCGCCTTTCAGTGACCTCCCTTTACGGCAACAAGCTCAGCTCGGTCGCAAAACCACTCAGAAACAGCCAAAAAATCAGGCGAACAAACCCCGTCCCTTTTCTCCTCCCCTCTCTCCGCTCCAGCTCAAGCAAAACCCTACACCCAAGCTTCCCAAAACGCGGTCGGCTCGGCTCGGCCTCGGCTTTCTAACCCGGCTTCCCATCATAAAGCCAGTAACACAGTTTATAGCTACGAAAGTGTTGCGAAGAAGTAAATCAAAACTTGAGATTGAGTCTACTACTGTGCTTTTCACCAACGGAGTTCCTATAAAGGGCCCCGGGAGTCAGGGCGCTGGCATCATCCGTCCTGGGCCGAGACCCCTTTCAGTCGGTTCAGTCAACGTGAACGACGTCCTTTCCAAGATCACGCAGAGTCCGAAGCGTCCCGTGGCTCCTCCCAGCAAGCCTGTAGCTACCAACCGACCCGTAGTTACACACCAACACATTGTGTTCCCCAGCCGACCCCCGCCAGTCCAGTACCGGACCTTCATAGCTCCCTGCTAACTGAGCAGGGTGGTAGTGTATCCTGGGATGGTAGCGCCGCGTTCACTTATTGTCCGCAATATACCTACATACGACTCATGCTTATGCACATCGTGATGTACCACGATGTCACGACTATGCATAGCACTGTGTGCTCGGCTAGATCTTATTAAGCTACCCGTAGCAGTAGCCAGTACACGAACCGAGAAACTCGTTTGAAATTCAGCTACACTTTTTGAGCTGTGTGCCTCTCGACTCATTCATGTTATGAGACGTCGTGACGGGCTCGGTCTGTAAATACTTACGTTCGGCGTAAGTTAGTGTGTTTGTCTGTGTGACTGTAGATTGTAGAACACTAGCATCTTGCTTTTGTTGTATATCGCATGTGTCATGCTGGGATAATAAAAAGAGTGCTGGATACAATTTAGCATGAAGAGATGTTTAACATTTTGATAATGATACCTTACTGATCTCCTATTTTTGCACTGAAATCATTTGTGATAGGGCAAATTTTAATGTGACATTCATTCAAAAGAACACATGCTGGTCAGTGCATTGCCAGCAAAAATATATGTAGTCGTTTTATTTACGGGTACCTACCGGTCATTTATATTTATCTAACTGTGACAGCTAAGCTGCAAGAGCCAAAGGACATTAAAGTTTCTTTTCCTTGACATTCCTTGGCAATTATTTGCTGCGCAACACTGTTTAAGCAGATGAACAAATCGATCAAGAAACTCGGAAATGACACAGCAGCGAACCCGGCTAGCCATATGATAAAAAAGTCGGGCAGAACGCTGGGAAGTTATGCTTACACCTTATAATTATGAATTAGGCTTAGATGGTTATAAGGGGGAGGGGGTGTTCAAACACCCCACCCCTGAGCAAGACGTAGAAATCCAGGAGCCCCAGCGGGGCGCGGGTTAAAATGGTTGTTGTTTGTTAAAATTATGTTTTATTTGTTAAAGTGAAAACGCTTTTCGCCTTGAGATAGATGATAATGGTTGATATGCTCCCAAGACGTTCGATCACGATGAAATACGAATGCAGTATAATAAATACTTGTGCCAGTGACAAGACAAAAGTCCAACATTTATTTTATTCGACATGCTTGATTTAACTTGAGCTTAAAGCAACTCGAAATAACAGTTTTAGTACTAATCATAAGACACCGCCCTGGCTCAAACCTTAGGATCACCCCCCCCCCCCAACACACAACGCTTATCTCCATACCACTATACCAGCCATGCACCGTACAAAAGCTGTAGTGCATACTGTGCAGTGTGCAGTGTGCAGCCCCCCGTCCCCTCCTGGCTCTCATGTTAGTACGTACCTCACACCTCCGACCATCAGAGGATCTCCCCCCCCCCCCTCCGTGGGAGCAGACAGCTGCACCCCCCCCCCCCCCCCTGCCGGTGGTCGCCTCTGCGCGCTGGCACGTCATCCGCCGCTAATGTGTTTGCGCTAGTGGCCGGCCATTAATGGGCGGCCATTAACTGGTGGACAATAGTGGTGGTTCGACGCTTCTCACCCCCGTGTCTGACAGAGAAGGATTGGTTCGCTATCACTGGTGTTAGGGGAGCGGAGAATCACTGCTGGTACCATCGTCATGAGAAGAGAGAGAGAGAGAGAGAGAGAGAGAGAGAGAGAGAGAGAGAGAGAGAGAGAGAGAGAGAGAGAGAGAGAGAGAGAGAGAGAGAGAGAGAGAGAGAGAGAGAGAGAGAGAGAGAGAGAGAGAGAGAGAGAGAGAGAGAGAGGGAGAAAGAGATTAGAGGTAGTAGAAGAGAGTGGAAAAGGGAGAGCAAAAAGTTATAGATGACTAAGGGTAGGGAGGAGAGGCAGAAGAGAAAAAGAAAGAGCTGAGCGAGAGAAGGTAAACATGATGAGAGGATAAAAATAAAAAATAACGATAGAGATTGTGTTATTCGTTGCTTTTTTATCTTAGAAACGTGATGAGATGATTTATGCCTGCCTGAATATGTAGTGTATACGATAAAAACGGATCACCCGTATATCCGCTTGGTTTGGGAGCAGGGATTTATCAAAACCACTTAACTGAAGTAAAGGGTGCGCAAAAAGTTCTGGCACTTCTACTCGTGCTGCGGCTGCTTTCCGGGCAGCCAATAGCCGCACGCATTATCTTCAATGATCCTGCTACGCAACCAGATGTCAAACAAAGCAGACCTTTAATAATGAGCGGCAAGTCATGAATAGGCAGGCTAACGGTCACATTGTCGTGGCGGTGAATCGGGCATGACTGTTAAGTAGGTTGCGGGGAAATTTGGAGCCCCCTGCGAAGAATAACAAAGTATCAAAGCCAGAAACGAATAGGGGAGGTCCTTGAGGATGCCCTCAGGCCAGGCCGGTCACATCCAGTCAGAGCTATGAGAATGCCACTGTCATGTCTTTGGCTATCTGGGACAACCAACGGATCGGGTGGAAAAAAGTGTTCAATCGTCTTCATTGACGCAAATGAGAAGATGAACAGGACGATGCATGAGCGTCTACTTGCCAGTGCCGTCATCCCATAGATTCTGAAGACGTATCCGGAAGTCCATTCATTCATTCATTCATTTACTTCGTATGATCTCTATAACATGGCATTTATGATCAAGAGTCAATACAAGGTAGTAAAAGCAAGCGAATAAAACACGACGAAAATGAACATGAAGTAAGATGCATTGCATACAACTACGCTAAAATCAATTGGAGTGTCGAGCACGGCCTCGCGTCTGCAGCCAGCCCTCCACATTCCGCTTAAAACTGGCTACGCTGGCATCCCTCACGTTAGCCGGGGCCTCGTTCCACAGCGACAGCACCCTGTAAATGAAAAATCGCTTAGCCATCGGCTCGCATTAGCCGCGCGTTTGCAGTCTTTTCGTGGTTTCAAGCGTTTAACCCTCGCCCGCACATGGGGGGGGGGGGGGGTTGCCACCCCCCCAGGTAGTCTTTCTGCTCTGCACTCAACATTTTTAGAGCTAGAAGGCTGATTTTTCGTATAGCTGCTCCTCTATCCTTTCTCAACGTCCACTGAAAATTTCAAGTTTCTGTGGTTTTTGGTTTCGGAGATATGACCTTGTTTTTCAGGTCATGTCATGACCCAAATGGCCAATTCTCAACATCTTGCGTTGGCTATGGGCCTTGTGAGCTTTTGACACCTTGATTTCGGCCTTTTTTTGCCAGTCTTACCTCCCACCTATCATGGAACATGTTGTTCGACGATGTACAGGTGTCAAGGTCAGGGTCAAGGTCAACCTAGGTCATCTAAGATAATCGCGTTTTATGCAAGCTGAATTTACTTTTTGTGAAGTTTTTTTACTGCATTTTTGGTAAAAGCTTCTCAGATCATGATTTCATGTAATATGGACACAAACACAATCGGTGCACACATCAGTATACACACAGACACACACAGATCTACAAACACATATAATTGACCTTGACCTAACTTGACCTGAAATGACCTCAGCAGCAAAAATCTGGTCGGGTAGTGTGACAAAGAGGTTCTAGCTGGCTTGGCACCAGAAAACAGCATCGTCATCGGTATATAATAGGCAGCGCACTTGATATCCAACGGTGACCCAAAACAGCAACATTTTTTAGTTTGACCTGACCTGGAAGGTCAATGACTGACCTGAGAAGGTAAAACTGGGTATCATTGGATTTGTCTTTTCCCAAAGAATCTTTTTGGTCTTTACCGCTAAGCTCTATCTCCAACAGGAACGAAATGGTGCGGGGGGGTGGCAACCACCCCCCTCCCATGTGCGTTCTAGGATGGGAAAATGGCATGTGCGGGCGAGGGTTAAACATACGATATGATGCTGCTCCCATGCATAAGGGGGGATGTCAAGGCCACCTGAAGGTCAGGTCAGGTCACTGACCTTTGATGACCACGGTTCACTATTTCGAGTTTCACATGTTTCTAGGCTAGTTTTTGGAGCTGACTTTGAATTTAGCAACCATTTGAAGATTTACGAAGCAGTTTTGGTACCTTCGTAGCATGTTACGAAGCTATCAGAGGCGGTTGACACGTACTACGAATATCCGGCACGACCCCAACCGGTTGACCTGACCTGACTTGAACCGACCTGGCCTAAATGCGTAAAGACATCATCTGTGATCAAAACTAACATGATATTCGTGATCAGCACCCCGAAAAAAACCCAGGAGCAGCCACACTTTACCGACGTTCTAACAGGTCCCGATTTTCCCGACTTTTGGGTCATTGACCTGACCTGGAAGGTCAACCAATGACCTAGGACCTTAAAATTGGGTATCATCGGCTTCCTCTTGTCACAGGAAACACGTTCGTTGTTTCTGCGAAACCCTAGCTCGATCAGGGGCCAAACGCTCGAGGTGGTGGTGGTGGGGGGGGGGGGGGGTTCGTACCGACGGCCCTTGTGCCGTCGAATGACGCAAAATGGCCTGTGCCCGCGAGGGTTAAGACATTGGACGAGACTCGAGCTGACTCCTTAGGGTCAAAGGTGATTTCCGGGGAGCAGTGCGCCTCCTGCAGGTCTCGAGAACCGGTCATCCGCGCCAGAGAAGCGCTGCATATATGAGCTCATTTGCATGAGGTGAACTTGAGGACATTTCTAGCCCTGCGTCGGGCCCCAGGTTCACTGAACGTGGCGAAGGCCTCATATGCTATGGACCTGTGAACATTGTCCGGTCAGTGAACACTAGAGATGTCAATCGGATACCAATTTTTGGTATACCGATACCAAACTGACACCGAATTGGTTGATTTGGTATTTCAATCCTAATGTGTTTGGTATTTTGTTGGTATCATGGATCCTCGCTTATGTATAAGGGGCTGTAAATTTTAGTAAAAAGTTGGCATTTCCATAATATTTCCTAGTTGGTTCGGTTTCGGTATTTTCCTACCGTTTTGGTCGTTATTTGGTTTGGTATCGGCATTAAGATTTTCTGTAACTGACATCATAGTGAATACCAATTCCATATAAGTTAAGCCTAATCCATAATTCTAGGGTCAACCATAATTTTCGTTCTGCTCGAAGTTTTCTATCACATGACTAGCCGGGTTTGCATCAATGTCTTTTTCGAGTTTTCGTTACCGATTTGTATCTATATTCAAACGGTATTGCGCATGAATTGATCGCAAAGGAGCATCAAGGAAAAAAAGTTTAATGTTTGTAGGAAAACCCACCTTGTGCGGCTCGAGCGAATGCAGCATCGTTTTTTTATGTGGATGGCATCGAACTCTGACAGCAAAGGCGCAGAAACCGGGGGGGGGGGGAGGCAGTGGGACAGCTTGCCCCCCCAAGTCTGGGGCCGTGGGGGCGGTGCCCCCACAACTTTGAGACGGAATACCGTACTTTTTTTGCCAAAGTCTTCTCTTTTTTGTTGAAAACCCCCAAGGGACGAAAAATAAGTGGCCTAAAACCGATGAGAAAGCTAGA